GGAAAGATAAAAATACATGTTACCTTCCCTAGAGCTGAAAGCATTTTGGAGAAGATGGGGCACATAGTGACCTACAGGTGGACTGCCAGGCTCCTCAAATACTCAGACTGCACAGAGAATATCTGACAGCTAATGTCTATCAGCTGGCCTACTAACACAAGGGTAGGCTTTTCCTTCTAGGGACCTGAAGAGGCCATTTTTCCCATGAAAAAGAAGTTCAGACTTATTTTCTAATGGCCATGGAACAGCTTTTTAATGCATTATTTCTAGTGCCTGCCAGTGACTTAATTTGGAGATATACTGGAGTAAAAGGATCCCACATGAGAGGCAGTGCTGCTTTTCCCCTCATCCTACAAGGGTTGAGAGGGCCCCACACTAAAGCCTTCATTAAGTCACTACTATTTACAGCTTGTTTGATGTGTTGGCTGATCCCCCCAGGAAAATGCCAGTGCTAATTTTGTCTGAGCCTTTCCCAGCCCCCCCCAGTGGCACCCTCATTCCTGCACTTGTTTTGCACGCCCTTAGCTAGTGCAACCAGCATCAAGGCAAGCTTGTCACCAGGATCCTGTCCTTCACAGCGCCCCGAGGAGCACACACTGCCCACACAGAGCAAAGTTCTGCCTCCCAACTGTCTGCCTGCTCCTGGAAATGCCAAGGGGGTAAAAGCAAGAGTGTGGGGACTGTCTCCATTGTCATGAGTAACACAGTAAAAGTCAAAACAACAAGGTCATTTTGCTCTTTTTCCTTCCCATGAGCAATTGGGAAGCGATGCCAAATCCAGGAATATCAGGCAGGGAAGGAAAAGGGTGTCAACATTCTTTTGCAAATAAGAGAGCTGGGAACAGGGTCTCATGCAGTTACTGCAGCTGAAGGGAAAGCAAAAATTCCCCATCCTCTTTTAGTGCTGGTGAGATCCCAGACCCCTCACGGGGCTACGTCATCTGTTCTGGATGTGGAGAGTAACATCTGCAGATGGGGTTCCCATGTGCTTGTTACAGTTGTACGTTAGAGGATGAAACCTACTTTCCAATAAAGTAAAGACAAACCAATCACCTACTGCCAAGTTCTCAAATTAAAAAGAAAAAAAGCTTGGCATCTAAGCTAAAGCTCAGAGTCTTTTAGCCAAAAGTAATTTATTTTTTAGCACCAAAGCAGGCTGGAAAATTATTTAAAAATAAAATAAAAATGGGGAGGGTTGGGGAAGGGTGGGAGAAGACAGGGGCAGAAGAAAGGAGGAAAAAACACCTACATACCCAAACACAGAGTGGCCCAAATGTACATTCTTACTGCAAATCAGAGTGACCAAGTCCCAGACCCTCCTTTCCTGCACCAGGGGTAGCACTTTTCTCTGTAATCCCAGCAGCTGCTTTGACAGCAGAAATCCCCAGCATAGCCCAGGTCAGGTATCTTAACTGCTGGGAGGACACTGTGGCTAGAAACCCATTGAGTTGAGCTTTACTAGCTCTACCTTTGCTGTAGCATCTGTCTGTCCTCAGGGACTGGACCTCCTGCCTGCTGCAGATACAACATTGATCCAACCAAGGAATTGAGACAGACATCCAAAGAAGTACTATTATTTTTCCTACAGTAGAAAGTCTCAGAATAGTAGCAACACAAGACATTCCTTCATTTTATTTGAGGATATAAAACTCAATACTTGCCCAACAGCTTCTCTGTGACATTACCATTCTCCATCTCCAACCTCCCACTTTACAGAGGATGCATAGCAGAGACAAAGAGGAAGTTTCCAGGCCATTTTGCAGCAATTCCCACTTTACCCCAGAGCATGTTCTTGTTAAGAGTCCTTCACCTTGACTATGGTAACTCTAGGCATTGTAGCAATGCAGTTATTCAATGCCATCACTGTCTTGAAAGGTAAGATGTTGTCATTAGTCTTTATACAAGACAATAGGATGGAGCAAGATAGTGAGGATGCTCAAGAACAAAGTAAGGAGAAAGCTGGAAGTGTCCTACTCCCACCTCATAATCCTCCCAACTGCAACAAGTAGATAGGACAAGAGATCTGAGTGTGAAAGACCTGCTTCATGGTCTTCCCTGGCCAGGCAGGGAATGAGAATGCAGCATTTCAGACCTGTTCAAAAGGGCAAGCCCCACTAGACAAAACTACAAGTTGTTAATCATCAAAGTTGCTATATTTCCCATGGAATACCCAGCACCATGCTTTTAGTCACACAAAACCAACTGAACAGACAATGCCTGAGCTCTCAACGCTGCCTTCTTAGACAGAAAAAGAAGCAGGGGTTCAAACCAGGCACACAAGCAGTTAATGGGATTATCCAGACACAAAGTTTTCAGCAAGACCCAACAGGCCATGAACACCTTGTATCATGCAAAAGACCCCTCTCCCACCACAGGGTTAACACGTGCCAGGCTGTTAAGAGTCCAGCAACAGCCTCTCCAGTTTTAGGAACTAAAACAAACACGTATTGAAATGCTGCTCTCGGTACCAGTACCTGCTCATCTTTTTCCTCAGCCTGGCGAACAGTTTAGTTTTCTTTCTGTTGAGGATGGCACGCAAATCATTTCCGTTACAGGGTGGCACAGTCAAACCAGGGAGAAAAAGTTAAGCTCCCGAGCACCCATTCACTTGGCGCCACAACACTCACTACAATCAAAATGACAAGATGTCTCTTTCTCTCTCCCTCTCACACACACAGGCACACACATAGAAACAGGTGCACATGTCTTTAGGTTCCTAGAAAGCAACAGCTTGGCTTGGAGAGGGTAGAGGGGAGCTTTTTGTGCCTGTCAAATAGCTATGTTTATGTGACTAAACTAGTGTTTCCCCTGCTCTTTGGAAACTGGGGCCAGAGTGCACATGGAAAAGAACAAGGAAACTGTATACACCAGCAGAGGACTGTAAATGTCCATTTTCACAGAAAATCACAGCTCCTCACTCTCACCTGTAAATACTGGTACAAGAAACAAGCTTCCCAATCTCCTTTACTTATGTGACCTGTACACACTCTTTTACGTGGAATCTAATCAGCAGCTCTCCTGCTATGTGTTTTTCCAGTTTATTTTATTTCCAGTTTATTCAACCATGCTAAGATAATGCTACAGATCTCCTAGGTCTCCTATGCATCTGAACCCTGACTGTTCAAACTCTTTCAGAAACAAATCTCAAACATATGTCTGAGGTTCCCAGAAGTACATCAGCTGCTCTGTGCTACTGTGCTACACAGCCAGTATCAGTTTCATCAGCCAGTTATATTTCTGCAGGGCCTCACATGAATGCCATAATGATGTGCATGAATAATTGCCTCTCTTCTCACACCTCCTCGAACATTTCCTGTCATTGTATCCATCTCCAATCTCTTTCCCAGTAGAAAAGGGCTAGGGAAACATCTGCTCTTACTGCAGGCCACAATAAGCAATCAGATCAGTGAGGGCTGTTTCCTCCTGCACACTCTCGCTCTAGTCCTGAGCCACAATGAGAGGCCAGATGTGCAAGGGAGGCAGGAGTACCTCACAACATTTCCTGGTCACCACAAAACATACTTACTACCCTGGCAAACCTGTGCTACATCCTCCTACAACACCATGCTTCACTGTGCTCAGGAAGAAGAGTCTCTCTGGGGCAGGTCTGGCATCTCATCCAAGATGCATGGAGTGAGTGATTTAGCAGCAGCACTCAGATTGCTGCCCACACAGGGAACTCTGTGTGCACGCTCATTTTTGGGTTTTAGGGCCATGTGGTCACATAGCCAGACAAAAAGCACAGAGCTGCAGCTGAGAGAGCTGTTACAGCCTCAAATGAAGCTAGCAGTTTGTGGGGGCAAGGGTCATCAGGACAGTTTATCCACTGGAAGTTCTCCCAGGCCAGAAACTTCATGCCACAACAATGAACATGTCTGAGGCAGACTATCACTACAACCCACAATCACTTTCTTGAGAAGGAAGAAGGAAGGAGTTGAACAAAGCAATGGCTACAGCTTTCACCTGTCCTGTTGTCTCATCCGCTTCCAGGGACTCTGGAGGATGCTGCAGAGACAACACAGCACATGGCAGCAAGAGGATGGGCACCACAGCCTCCTCACTAGGCTTCAGTCTAGTTGGGCTGTGATAATCAATAGGCATCACATGCTAGCTTGGGAAGACAGTATTTTCACAAGAAGCATTGAAAGTTTAGTGTTAGCAATTCAAAATTCAGAGGCCAAATTCAACTCAAACTTCTTTCTTCAGAGCTAGCAAAACACCACACAAATTGCTGGAACAACTGCAACAGGAGGTTAAACTGGGAGGAGATACAAGGGAGCACAGAGGTCTCAGCAGCTGATCCAGCCCTTCCGAATGAACACACTCAGACCAGAGTCTGCCCTTACTTCATGCTGACTTCACCTCCTCTCTCCATCAATACACCAGTTGAGGACTCAGGCTGTGCTCCTGCTCACTCGACACATGGGATTAGCAGCAGCTGGAAGCCAGAGCTCAACACTGTTTCATCACTCACACATTTGGATGGGAGCCAGACAGCCTCATCCAGAGCCCCACCGCTCCCTCCCCTGTCAGTGCTAGAGAATGTGCAGACTTGCATTTAGCCATACAGGAACGGACTCAGCTAAAGAAAGAAAACTACGGGCCTGGAGGACACACACTCCTTGCATACATGCAGGTTGGAAGTGCTCTGAGATCAGTGAGGCTGCAACTACTTCCACAACACAACACACAGGAAATGCACCTCAGCTGGGCAACCAGGAGGGGCATAAGGCTTTGGTAAACCAGTTGTTCCAAGTTTGGAGGGCCAGGAGGCTGGGAAAAAAAATGGGGTCTTGGCCCTCAAAGCTTACAAGCTACAGGTAGATGGTAGAAGCTTGTGAGGGAAAGAACAAAACAAGTGCTGGGTAACTGAACCCAGAATGAAGGGCAGCTCAGTATTATCAGTGCATAGAATTCAACTTCAGAAAAGCAGAGCTGAGTCAGTCACCTACACATCAGCACTGAGAGCAAGTTTAGGCCTCCAGATGCTGTTCTAGCAAGGTAAGGGGTATTGCATTGTGTCGCCCAGTCCCAAGAGCAATCTTGGACATGCTTTAGGGAGTATCAAGAGGGCACTGGCTCTGACTACCTATACACAGGTAGGTAAATCACTCCCCAGCTGACAACATGGAGGTTACAATACCTCTGGTAGAGACATCCCTGTCCCCCTCCCCTGCTGAGGGAAAGACACTACTCCCACAGTTACTGACCTGGGCTGTGCTTTAACAGGGAAGGCATTGCCCGAGTACTGCTTGTCTAGACCCAGCAGAACATCATGGAGGTTTTGGTTCAACTGCAAAATATAAAAGCAGGGAAAAAAAAATAATTTTAAAAGAATCCAAGTTCCAGAAGAGAGTCTGGGCTGGTCTTCACAGGCTGAACAAGCACAGATTTGTGCCCTGACATATGCACATACTCAGCTATCCCAAGAGATGACAGCCCTGCATCTGTTTCTACTCCACCATGGGGCAAGAAATGCTAGAGCATTCAAAATGTTGAAGAGCTTGCTGGCATCTCATGGGAATGCTCTGTCTCCCTTACACATCATCCTCTTGACTTCTCTACCACCTGCCCCCACTGGTGTGCTGCCAGGTACCACTGCAGAAGTGAGCAGAATATTTACTGTGTGCTAGAACTGAAGCTTCACTCTGGATTTGTGGCCAAAGATGTTCCTCAGACCTGCTTACAGAGCTTGGGATATGGTCATTTTAACTGTGGAGCCAAAGGCAGATGGACTTCCAGTCAACAACAAGCCTTGACTTCACAGGCTGCCATCTAGGTTTGGGCATGACCTGGATATCTTTGCAGAAATGCAGTATTAGAGGTTAAACTTTGAGCCACCAAAGGCAGCAATATTCACTCCAGATCGTTCTACTCTGAAATGGCCAATTCACAAACAAGATGAGACACCAGATTTATCATTGTTAGGAGGAGGAATCCAATGCAATCAATGCTGTAGGTATCGTGCAGGCAACACTAGCAGTTAATTGAATGCTATAACTTATATGCTTATAAAAAACAGATGGTCCTTATAGAACAAAGCAAAAGCCCTGCTCTCACACAAAACTTCTCAGGAAAGAGAAATCCAAGGCACAGTACAAGATAGCTTCCTGGCTTGTTAGCCAGGAATCTTTCCCATGTTTTGCTGAATGCAAATTAACAGCACTAAACTGATAATTATAACAATACTCCTTATTCTTAACAGTCAGTTGACCAATCAGTGGAAAAGAGCAGGCTATTAATTGGAAAGGTCCCCATGAAATACCAGCAGGGCTCAAAATTGATGCATTACACCAAGGCAGAGGGCCCCTGACTGCTGGGAATTGAAGGAAGCTCATGTTGCCTGTTGCTTAGCGGCTGCCTTGTTGTCAGGATGACGTTTGAGAGGGAAGGGAATAAAAGTTTTCCAGCTGGGCTCTCAGTTGCTCAAGATTAGTGCTACATTTACAGAAGGCATGCAACTCTTAGGAGCCGTATCAACCTAAGGAATTCAAGACTTCCCTGGCCTGTAAGTGGAAGAAAAAAGAACATATTTGTAAATGAAACTGGCAATGGGGGCTTTCCCAGGCTGTGGTGGGAGTGAGGGCTCTGATGGGAGCTGGCACACAGCACTAGGACCCAGCCTGCCACCACCAGGCTACAACACTGCTTACTGCTGTGGTTCCCAACTTGGGGCCAACTACTGGCCTGTGCAAAGGCCATGCTAAGCACTCAAATGCCTTCTTTGAGTCACAGGGCAGAAAAGAAGCCAAAGCAGAGAGGCACTGCTGGGAAGTGCCTTCTTGAGGGACCAGAGTGAGGCGGGTCTCAGCCTTCAGCCAACTTGCAGATTGGCTACACTCCCTGCTGTTTTCATCCCCACTGCTGGATAGATGAGGGTTCACAGCAACTTGCTGCCAGGCAGCAGAGGAGAGGGCAAACAGATAACAGGCTGAGAGTGCCCAGGTTCTATGTTACAGATCTGTAGTGTAGAAAAACTCAAAAAGGTAGAAAGAGATATGCTTGAAAGTGGCTTCTCTTCTCCCTGTGGATCTGCAAACAAGCCCTGTCAAGTGACAAACTTCCCACTGTTGCTCAGCCCTGTGGTCTCTTCCTTGTGCTTTGTGCCTTTACCTTACTATCTCAAACAGCCTTTCTCCCAAGTGGTTCAGAAAAAACTAAGGCTTAACATTTTCCTCTGATGTAGGGCAAATATCCTATTTTTTCCAGTTTGTTGGTTTTGTAATAACAATGAGGAGAGGGTGTATAAGGAGGATAAACTGCTGGTTGCCTTACCTTGCTCATTTCTTTATGGAAGTTCTCTTCCAGACCTGCTATACTCTGGAATGTGTTGACGTAGAAACCAACACGACTGCCAAATGAAAAATGAGAAAGAAGAACTTAGGCACAATGCTCTCCCAAAACCTTTCAATTCTACTCTGGTACCTCCCAGCCACCATTCCCATTCAAACTGAACTCTCATTGAGTTGGTTATGGATGGTTAGATCCAGCATATGCTGGAAGAGAAGGGGGGCAGAGAAGCATGAAGGCAGTGTTGGAGCAAAGGCCAGGTATGGGGCAAACATGCCCAAGGTGAGGAGGAGGCCCAGTAGGATAGAATCTGAATTTGTGCTGGCTAAAGGGAAAGGGAGGTACATGGCAAGGCAGGGAGAAGGAGCAGGAAAGGAAGAAAACAAGAGTCAATTGTAGGGTGATGGAAAAGGACAGAAGCTGTGACTCAGTGTGGGGACAGCTAGGGAAATTGGCAGGAGAAAGGAGAACAGATATTAATCAACTCTGAGGTTCCTCAGCACCAGGCCAAGCAAAAAGGCATGAACTGTTTGCTTCAGGGACAGAAGGTTAAAAAAAGCACAGGACAAGCACAGAGAGCAACAGGAAAGCAGAGGGATGGGAACATCCTGTGGCACCTTAAAACCCCAGCAGCTGCCTGCTATCCTCCCTCTAGACAGTCTGCCAGCTGCCAACAGGGAGTGTTGTACCAGCACCCAGCTGGAGGAGCAACAGCAGGAGGGAGATGCTCTCTAAGACCAGCCCATCATGGTTCTGCAGACAGGACCACACAGATGCCTGTATCCCTCCCAGCTGCTTCCTGAGCCAGGCCTGCACCTTGCTTTGAGCAGAGTCCTGACCCAGCCTGGGAGGAAAGGGGACTGAAGGCAGACATCAGCACTTTGCTGTCCCACCCTGCTGCTGCCCACTCTCACCATCCCCCACAGACCAGCACTGCTAAACCAGATGCAACCACTGCATTTGAAAATAAGAAACTGGGACACTCCTAGCAGGATTTTGCCTGCTTTCCACTGTCATTTCCCCATACATCAATTTCTGCTGCCCTCCACGTCATCCTCCAAGCTAAATATTGGTCTGTTTCTTTCTCCTCCCTTTTCATTACCATCATCACTGGTAAGGCAAATTCTCTCAAGTCTTTCTACTCTCTCAGCCCACTTTCCTCTGCCAGCATTTGTTAAATAAAGCACAAGAGGAAAGCTGTAACTAGTAGTTCTTCACTGGGTCCTGTGTCCCATAGCCAGGAGCACATTTAGGGGGCCTGATAAAGCAGCCACACCAGAATTCTTCCTCTTTGTTCACCCAACAGTCCCAACGTGAATGTGGCACCCAAAGCACAGCAACCTGTCCTCTCATCCTCCCTCATGTGTTAAACTTGATGCTTCATCAGGTGCTCACGAACTTGCATGGTGAGACACAATGATGCAGGAATCACCTCTTGACTCCCTCCAACCCCAGTGACTCTATAAACTGCTCTGACATCTTATCTCTGCTTGATCTGTCAGCAGATATACCTGCTCGACTGCAAATGTTTCTTCCAGCCAGCCAGCTCCACACCCAAAATCTTTATGACCCAGAATGCTGTCTGCTGTCCACAGCAGAAGCTGGACCATTGGCCAGGAAAGTTGGGCAGAGTTGGTGGGGCAATGGGATTAATCAGATAAAGCATAGAAAAAGTTTATCTTTGTGGTATAAATTCAGTTTTTCATGAAGATCATGAAGCAAAGAACAGAAAGCCTGAGATGGGAAACATCTCTGAGGTGATCCAGAAAACAAGAGGAGACACCCAGCCCAAGCTAAAGGGTGATACAACAGCTTGGATCCTCACTTCCTTCCAACCAGCCCCTGGGAAAACATTTCAGCACTCACCTATTCCATAGTGAAGGCAGCTCCTCCTGCAGATCAACATTCATCTCTTCAAACACCTTCTGAGCTTTTACTAATTCTTCTTCAGCCTTAATAACAGAGAAAGGAGATTGTCAGCTTAGGCACAGACAAGTACCCTGCAGGGCTGGGGCAACAATGACTCTTTTTACTTCTGTGGCAGACTAGGCAAAATTCTGGCATGGGGTAATCTTTATCCCAAATAAGTGTCCCAGGAACCTGGGATGCATCACAAGTGACTTGATGCCCCTTCAGCTTGCATGTGTTACTCTCAGGTTTTCCCCTCAATGTATTTCCCTGTTTGGATACTGAGAAAGTAATTCAAACATCCACTAATGTGTTTTACATTCTGTAAGATTCCCTGGGTTCAAAAACTGCTCAGCCACCAGGTTAGATACAGATGGAGATAAGAATGGTCCCCACCCTTTGCCAGGTCTCAGAAAGAGTTGAAATGTATCCCAAATGGTGTCAAAGAAGAGTCCTCCACCCCCCCATGTGGACTCTCTCTGGTCAGGTAAGGTCATGGCAAAGACCCATCTCTTCTGAGGAACAGAGGACGTCTGCATCCTGGCTGGTACAGCACTCTCACCAAGCTGACTGGAGAAGCAAGGAAGGGTATGCCAAGCATGAGGTGTGCTAGCAGGAGGCCAGGCTGGAGTCACTGAGCAGCAGGTTCAGCTGCTGGCTTCAGCAATCTCACATAGTCTTATCCATAAGGATTGAATGCAAGAGCAACCCCAGGCCAGCTGTTGGCCACCCACACCAAAGGAAATATGCTCTGTCCAAGACCACTTTCTCCCAGTTAAGAGTTTAAATTTGATCTATTCTTTTGACCTTGACATCAACAGACCCCAACACTCACACAAGTTCTGCCAAGTTTCAGTGACAAAACGGATGATCCCGGTTTCTGTTGCTGACAGCAGACACCAGCAACAAACACATTCCCTTTCCCACATTTGTCCTAGGCGACTTCTTTTTCCAGTGCCCCAAACAAAAACACAAAGCCTGCTAATTAAAACGTTTCTATTCTGTAATTTGCAACAGCACAGCATTCCCCCATAACCCTGTGCAGTGGGATGCAGGATGGCAAATCCCTGCATGAGCAACCTGATGTCACACTTCAACAGGAAGGTCAGCACAAGTGCCTACCTATGTGTGACAAC